TCAACCTGCAAACCATCGAATAGAAAAATTAGGAAGCATATTTAAGAATTAAGACTCCAGACAAACAACAACCCTAAATCGGAGCACTGTCCTGTAAGAACACATCAATATGAACTCAATCAATTCAAAATGTGAGCTGAAATCGGTAGGCGACCAATTACAATACACATTCCAGAATCAATGAACAAACCACAAGTCGAATAACCGAAATCATCGTTTAGAGAAATCTAAAAGCGGATATAGATTCAATACAAACTATGATTTCAACAATCGTATCGCGTAAATGATATAAAATTGAATGGCATGCCTGAGACATGGCGAACGAAGGAAAATTCAAGATCTCAGAGCTCCGTTTTCCAGTGCCGGCGCTGCCTGGGGAACGCCGATCGGGGAGGGAAGAGATTTTCGTTGGTACTTCTGAATTTTCAGAATGCTAAACCAACAAAGTCGATAATAAGAAGTCAATCTTCTTTGAATGGGCCATGCCATATGCCCAAACAAAATGGCCCAATGCGACGGATGATACATGTTTTGGGTTTGATTATAATGCTTCTACTCCCACTATCCCAAAAACAAATACTCCCTCCGTCCTCCTATATTTGTCCATATTTGACTTTTGAAATTGTTTATTTAAGTACTTTGACTCATCAAATTTTCTCAATGTGTAAGTCTAAATATAGTCATGTGTAATCTTGTTTGATTTGTCTTAACATATAGATTATTAATATATAATTTTTATAATTTTTTAATATACAAATTACAAGATAAAATAGATTAAAGAAGTGCATTGGATGGTGTGCAAAAATGAAGGTGGACAAATACATGGGAACAGAGGGAGTATTAATTTTGTTCTAATGCTCCGTATATTTGTGAGCTTTTATTTTTTTAGTTCAAACTGGATGAACTTTGGATCTCAATAAAATAAAAATTACATCGGTAATATACATTAGTATAAACATGATCTTATTAGCTTTATCTTGTTAATGTACAATATAAATTGAGAATAAATGATAGATTAAAATTTATTCAATTTGACTCCGAAAAGTCAATTGGAAAAATATAAAAGGACGGAAGAAGTGCCACATATCACTATTTAAAAATCACAGATTTTTTGATAAAATAAAAAAATTTTGTCACATCATGTTTTGAAAAACTTTTGGCCATAGTTTTTAATAAATAAATTTTATTTTTTATTTTTGTATGAATCTTTAAATAAAATATATTGAAAAAAAATTAAAATAATTACTTTATTTTGCGTAATGTGACAAATATTTTAGGACGAATGAAATGTTTTTTAGTAAATTTCCTAAAATGTCCTTTATAACAAAATATTCTCTTCTTAGTCGTTTATATTTGAAATCATTCAATAGTCCCACCTTTTAAGTAAAAATGCAGAAAAAGTTATCCTCTTCATGTTAATTCTATTATGTACTCCGTTTCTAATAAATACTTAATAATAATAACAAATCTTCTATAATTTTTTATATAAGAGAAACAAAGCTTAAGTGCGTAAAAATTGTACACGGCTTTAGAGTTTTATCAACAATATTTGGGCGAGCCCGAGCAAAATAATATTTAAAATTATATATTTAAAATATTTTTCATATCAATTATTTGATTTAATCTTTATATTTTAAATAATTATATATTTTTATATATAGTTAGTCCAACTATATCTAATTACGAATGGATGGGGTAGCCTATATAGCGGAATCAAACTAAATTCCCTAGCAGATTTGTGGTCTTCGGTTGAAATGATCATTGCTAAAAGTGAAAAATCGTCGGCCTCTTAATCATGATTAATAAGATAAATTAAATTTTAATTACAGATTTATAGCAGGAGTTGAGCGTGCACCCGATAATTGCAGAGGTTCATGCTTAACATATATAATTGTCTTCCAAAGCAATTGTCAGAAATCGAATTCAAGTCTATTCACTTGGCCTCTCTGTCTTTGCCAATTGCATAACACTCTTAGTCCTGTTCTTTTGGATTGGAAAAATTGACATCCAACTTATTCGAGTTACTTTCAATTCTTTTCAATTTCTTTTAGCTTCTTTCAACAATGATTTAGAAAAATATTTATATGTGATGAATATATAATAACATTATATACCTAAATTTATACGGAGTAACATATTATTACAAATACGAACAAAGATGAATTTTTTTATATAAAACTAAAGTTTTCTTACATATTTATTTTGGCGATTATTTAATTGACTAACGTTTAACAATTTAATTTTTTCAAATATTTTCCAATTTTTTTTTAATTTCTTTCAGTTTCTTTCCGTATCCACTCTAAAATTTCAACAAAAAAGAACAGGATCCGAATCATGATTCATGAATGGTTTAACGTGTACATCAAAATCCAATTGCAATACTAAATACTCCGTAATAAAGATTTTTTTATTTTTCGCAATAATGAATTTACTCGATTTAGTGATTATGGAGAGTATGGACAAGAGTGGCAGGTTGCAACATTTAATCACTCCTAGTAGTAATGACAACCCAACTACTCTAGCCTCGCTTGCTCCATTCCATGTTTGGGGTCATTAATTACTTTTTCCACTAAAAATTTCCTTTGACCATTTAAAAAGGATGAGTTGGATGAGTTTCATCGAGACGATTCTCTTAAATCCGACGGAACGATCACTGAAAAAAGATAAATAAGACTTTAATCGCAGATTGATAGAAAGGAGTTGAGTCTACTGCTGGTATGGTACGTTACAGAGGTCTTATGTGTAACATAGTTGACTCCTGCCGCATTTACTAAAAATCAGAATCAAATATACCATCTTGGAATTCTTTGCTTTTGTCCACTGTGCAACACCCACATACTTTCTTGCAACATTTAAAATTGAAGGTTGCTAGGGGTACACCAAAAGTCTCCAAATATACATCACCCATTTTTCTACCATTCATTTTTATTTATTTATTTCTTGTTTAATTTATTTGCCAATATGTGTGGCATTGGAGAGAGTGGTGTACATTTGGGGTTTCGAATATTTTTTAAAGTGATATTCGAACTCGAATTCGATTCGAATATTTTTTAAGATTCATATTCGGTTCGTTTAATATATTGAACATATTCGGTTCATTTAAATATATTCGGTTCATTTAAAAATATTTGATTTATTTAGATTTTAAAATATTTTATAACCATTTAATCTATTCATTAGCTATTATTTGTCTATATATATATATATATATATATATATATATATATATATATATATATATATATATATATATATATATATATTATTTGTATAATTAAATATATATATTCCGAATATATTTGTCAAACTCACAAATCGAATACCCTTGATTCATATTCGTATTCGATAAGGGTTCGAATATTTATTCAGATTCGTGTTCATATTCAGATTTGAAAAAATCGAATACGAATCACTTCATACGAATACGAATCACGAACCGATTTAAAAATATTCGATTCATTTACAACACTATCCCAAGTCAAAACAAGAAAATAGATATTTGGAGTATTTAGGGAGTAATACACTAAAAAGATTGATTAATATTAATCACATACTCAATAAAGTTGATAATTCAATTTGAAACTCAGAAGCATTAAATTAAGGGATTTTCTCTGATGCCTCATTATTTGAGAGGGCATGGATACCCCTCCTCTAATTTTTTGACATGTGTACGAATAGGTATATTAATTATATTTTTCATTCCATTAGTTTCTAAAGCAGTGTTTTACTTCTATACGTTTTTTTATATTTCTGTTTTTATTTCATTCCTCAAGTATCAACCGGATAATGTAATTTTGAGAATTTTTTATATCTTTTTGTAATTTTCTTCCTTTCTTGTTTATTTATATTGGTTTATGAAGTGTTTTTTGAGCTTATTTTTCAACACTAACGATACAACCTTTTTACTCAACCAATTTGGGTTTAGGATATTTGACTTAAATAAATTATAATTCTATTTATTTAAAAAAATCGTGTAAAATTAAATATTTATCTTATATATGCATAACTTATATAAAAAATTTGATAACACTATATGAGTAATAAACCAATTTTTGTTAAAACTACTTCCTCCGTTTGCAAAAAGACTTCCAATTTTGACTTGGAACAAAAACAGAGAAATGTTAAATTATACTCTTTCCGTTCTCAAAAACTCTATTCTTTCATTTTTTTATTTCCAACAAAAAACTTCCACTTTATATTAAAAAATCACTTTTACCTTTATTTTTGCATACCCTACCTATCACATCATTATTTTTCTCTAATACTCAATCCATCACATCTTACTTTTACCCATTGCATTAAGGGCAAAATTAGAAATCAACTGCAATTTAACACTTCCTTATTTTTACACAAAGTCAAAATAGGAACATTTTTATAGAACAGAGGGAGTAGTTGATTTCTAATTTTGCCCCTGATGTGATGGATAAAAGTAAGATGCGATTGATAGATTATTAGAGAAAAAGTATGATGTGATAGGTAGGGTATGAAAAAGTAATGGCAAAAGTGGTTTTTTAATAGAAAGTGGAAGTATTTTGATGGAAGTGAAAAAAATGAAAGAGCAACTGTTTTTTTAGAACGATGGGAGTACAACTTGTAATCAAATGTGTGATAATAATGATAAAGAAAAAAAGATGAAAATTAATTTGACATCTCGGATAGTAAATAAGTAAATTAAATTTAAGACAAATGATGAAATATTTTATTTTTCATATGCTAATATAAATATTTATATATGGAGTATTTGATAATAAAATTGTATTTAATTCAATTTCACTATTGACTCTAGATTCAAGACTTTAATTAAAATTCAAATATAAAAGTATAGTTTAAGTTTAGATTTGCGTGTTTAAATAAAAAATAAAGCCAAATTCAAAAAAAAGGTTAGGGAGTAAAAATTCAAAATTTTTACACTGTTAACAAAAAAACAACATAACGAAGCTTAAGGAAAAAAATTAAATGCGATCAGGAAGAAGGATTTTCTAAAATATAATTTATATTATCAATACTCATAAATTTAGACATAAAATAATCCACATGTCAAGATAATAGTGGAAGGGCATCCATGCCCTCTCAAATACAGAGGTATGGGAGAAAATCCCTTAAATTAAAAGACAAACAGCTGATCAAATGTGCAAATTAAAGCAAAACCAACTTAATTAATTAAAGGAAAAGCCAGCCCACAAGCCACCGAGGATGATTACGGCGGAGACCAACAGGGGGACTCCGGCGAGCTGCGGTGCGTGCATGAACCCGTCAGAGGCGCCACCGCCAACGGTTGTCGATGTTGCCACCCCGGGACCCATCGGGGTTTTCGTCGTCATCGTGGTAGGTGCGGCGGTGGAATTGGTGAAGATGGCGGCGTCCGGCGAGTTTGCAGGGAGGTTTAATAGTTCTGCAATTTTCCCCATTACACACACAGATATCAAAATTTGTCTAATTTAAATTCTTCAACGTTGTATTGGCAAATGTGAATAAATGATACTCGTCCAATTGAGGCTCCTCGATTCAAAATATTGACAGTTTAGAACAATGCACCTAAGTCCCTCACTCTACGTTTTTAGAGCAACTCTGATGCTTCAATCGGAAAAATTGACTGTCCTCCCTAGCCCACCCCCTAAACTCTCACCCTAGTCCCATCCATACTCCACTCCAATCTTGCTTTAAACCTCACTTAAAATTAGACTCTAAAGTCAAAATTAACTTGGGAGTACAATTCGATCAAGGGGTGAGGGTTTGTTCGAGCCTGGACAGAAGGTTAGGGGTAGGAGTCATCAAATGACATTGATTCTCAATGTAATGGGAACTAATTCCTTTTTAAAAATTATGGTTTTACATGAGGAGACGTGTCAGAGTATAGAGTATAAAGACCTGTCAACGAAACTGTGCAGTTTTTGTATTTCTGTTAACATTTTACCATGTACTTTGTAGGGAGGAAGATATTTAGATCAAGAAGGAACTTACTTGGGCAGAGGGTGATATCGGCGCCGGCGATGTTACAAACGGCGGGGAGCTGACGGATACGGTCTTCCTTGACGCCCATACTCTTAACCTGGGTGTTATCGCCGCTGTGAACCTGCTGGATGACGAAGCACAGGCACGCCGGATCCGTCTTCTTTATGGTCCCCACCGCGTCGCAGCACTCCTTGCTCGGCGTCGCCGCCTTCTCCGTCGCGAACGACAGGCACGGCACCACGTTCTGGAACTGCTTCCCGCACTTCTCCGCCAGCGTCTCCGCCGCCACCGCCCATCTTCCGCCGCCGCATACCGCCACGGCCACCACCAGACTGAACATCGCAACCCCTCTCATCGTCGGACTCGTCTCTCAATTCAATTAATTTCTCCGTCTGCTCTGTTATTTTCGCGTTTGACAGGCATTTAAAGATGATGATGAAGAGGGGCAACCATTATTGCTATGGTTGGATGCACAACTAATAAGGTTGTATAAAATAAATGCAATAACTGCATATTTTTTTTAAATTCAAAATTTTAGACCCACTTTCTAAAGTTTAGCCAAAAATATACCTCACATATTTTAACCAATAAAAAAATGTTTAGTCTGCAAGTCGTACGGGTGATCGCGTGTGGAAGCAAACCCTGTGGTGATAAAGTCATTGTTTTTGCTACTTTTACATTTTTTGGATGTGTTTTAGTTATCAAAAAATATTTTTGCTAATTATATATATATATAATAAATTCTACTTCCTTACAAAAAAAATTGCCATAATTATTAGTCCGAGTAATTCTTTACTCTTCGTCCCTAAATATTTGTCACACTTGTATTCTCGAGGTAAATATCTATCAAGCTTTTTCAATTTATTTTATTTACATATTGGTATAGAAATAAAAAATAAAATTTACATATCAAAAAACTACATGAAAAGTTTTTCGAAATAAGAGGTGTCAAGAATATTTTATTTTATCAAATAACCAATGAAAACGTATAAATAAACAAAAGTTCTCGCGACTGGTGAAAAAGCAAATGTTGCAAATATTTAGAGACGGAAGGACTACTTTTTAATTAAATTAAGTAAAATTTTGCATTAAATAGTATTAAAATATTTTTCCCCAATGTAATACTTAAACTTTTTTTATTTTCTAAATAGTACTTAAATAATATCTAGGAGAGAGAGAGTAAGGTCTAGTGATGATGAACATTTAGTTTAAACAATGTCCTGTGGCGGTTGATATTTACTTGAACAATGACCAATGGACAATGACCAATTGTAGTAGGTTGGGTGGTAAAAAAACATATGGTATTATATTAGAAAAATCACTATGTTTTATTACTCGCTCGGTCCCTAAATATATTACAATCTTTTTTTCTCTCTCCTCTCGATAACTTTTGTTTGTTTACGTGATTTCATCAAGTATTTAATAAAATAAAATATTCTTGTCACCTCTTGTTTTGTAGAATTTTTGACGTAGTTTTTTGATATGTAATTTTTATAGCTTATTGATATACCAATTTGTAAATAAAATGATTTCAAAAAGTAGGAAATTTTACTCCGTAACTCGCAATTTCTAATCAAATTGGGGACGGAGGGAGTATTATTTAGGTAAATTTTCTTTAAATTAAAGGTAATGGAGATAAGGTGTAAATAAATGATTGGAGGAAATGCATGCCATTCTATTCATAGCGCCATTTTTTTTTTGAAAAATGCTAGGGGTACACCAAATATCCGCCACCCCCTCTTTGTCCACTAAAAAAGGAAAAAAATTCAAAAAAAATAAGTAAATAAAAATCAAATAAAAATGTGTGGAGAAAAATATGATGGTGTACATTTGGGGTACACCTTTTGGTGTACCCCTAGCAATACTCTTTTTTTTTTACTTTGATGAGCAATGTGAGGGGTTGTCAATTGTCAGATGGCGTTTTGGGCCGCTATGGGTTGGCTTTAACGCCAAATAAATAATACTCCCCCCGTCCACAAATAAAATTTACGTTCACTGTTCACAGGGTCAAACTTTATTCACTTTGTTGGCCTATTTTCGTCACCCATTTGATAAAATAATATAGTCATGTCACCTCTAGTTTTGTAGATCTTTTGATATAGTTTTTTAATATGTAATTTTTATTTTTCAATTCTACACCATTTTTCATATAAAATGATTTGAAAATAACTTCAGTCAAACATCGTAACGCGCAACGTAAAGTTTATTTGTGGACGGAGGGAGTACTACACTATTTAATTTTATGCTAGAAGCTTCTAAATAGGAACTAAAAATAATTACTTCTTTTGTCACTCAATATTTGTCTACTTTTGATTTTTTCGGCAAAAATTGATAAACTTTGACCTTAAAATAAATAAAAATAATATTAGATACTGATAGAAAAATAGTTTTATTAAATTTATTATATCAAATATTTTCAAAATATTATTTTATCTAATTAATATACAATACATATTTTATTTAATTATATGTCAAAGGTTGAAAACAGTTGACCATAAAAAGTTAAAATTGGACAAATACTCAAAAATAGAGGCAGTAAAATATTTCATGATCAAAAGTACTAAATTATTGAGATCGAAAAAAAGAAAACAACTGCATTATTCGTCTTGTTTGATTTTTCGAATCAAATTAGACAAACTTTAGTTATTTATTATTCTTATTTTGTAGTAATACAAATAGTCCCCCCCACACCCTAAATTCGGTCAAGCTTTATTCAAAAAAGTCAACCTCCATGAATGCACCGAGACAAATGCATTACTCCCCCGTCCCAAAAAGTCTTTCGTGTTTTATTTTTTGCGCATCACATAAAACACTTCTAACGACATCTAAAATGCCTAAAATTTACAAAATTTTTTCTTTATTATGGGTAGAAGTTATTTTGAAAGTTTTTTTGGCATTCAAGACGGGATAGAAGTGTTTTATGGGATGCGCAAAAAATGAAACAGGAAAGACTTTTTGGGACAGAGGGAGTATTATTATTATTATTACTCCATCCCTTTGCAAAAAACTCTTCCCATTTGAAATATATTATTTTAATAATATATATTCATATAAAAATGGAAATATTAATGGTCAAAGTGCCGCATTGGAGACCGTGAAAAGTCAAATGGGAAGTTAATTTTAGGACGGAGGGAGTAGTTGATTTCCAATTTTGCCCCTGATGTGATGGATAAAAGTAAGATGTGATGGATAAGTTATTAGAGAAAAAGTATGATGCGATAGATAGGGTATGAAAAAGTAAGGGTAAAAGTTGTTTTTTAATATAAAGGGGAAGTGTTTTGTTGGAAGTGGAAAAAATGAAAGAGGAAGTGTTTTTGAGAACGGAGAGAGTACATATTAATGTCATCCTGCAATACCATGCACGCGAGTATATCAAAAGTTTGGGTTGTTCTTAAAGGCTTAATCTTAATTAACTTGGAATAAAGGTTTACGAAGATGGATTCATGGACAAACAACGACAAGAGGTCCTGTGTCTTATGTTGTTGAGGCTTGTAAGAGCTGGACAAAGAAAGACTGCTGAGAGAGAACATAATGGATCGAGTAATACTAATGATTTAATGGACATGTACATGCAAGTTACGTAATTGTGAGTGAGAGACACGTTAATAATTAATTAATTGATTAGTATTAGGAGGTGATGTTTTTTAGACTAATAATTCTATTAGAATGACATTTTCAAAATTAGAACTTTGAAATTCTAACGCTATTGGCGAAATGAGAATGGACATGGGTGGTCCGGAGTGTGTGTCTGTGTAAGGTGGGCAACCGCACCGGATCTCAAAACTTTGAAGGCACAAATATTGCTAGATGTTCATTATTCTAATTACTTGATATTTTTAAATTTAATGTAAATACTCCATCCGTTCCTTGAAACGGTTCTTGTTTTGACTTTGGGGCAAAATAAAGAAAGTGTAATTTTAGTTGACTTTCCAATTTTGCCCCTGATATGATGGGTAAAAAGTAAGATGTAATAGTTTAGTTATAAGTAAAAAAAGTATGATGTAATATATAGGGTATGAAAAGGTAGGGGTAAAAATGGTTTTTTAATAGAAAAAGGAAATGTTTTAAGGAAAACAAAAAAATTAAAGAGAAAAGGTTTTAAGGAACGAATGGAGTATATCTTAATATTCAAATTGTTTGTCATAAAATTAAAGTTGTTATTAAAAATCAAATTCAGTACTAATTTTAAAATTCAAGTACTTTGCAAAAAATAAAATAGTATTAACCTCAACATGTGAATTTTATACGGAGTACAAAATTAATTTTTCACATTTCCAAGCGGACCCCGTGCATGGATGGTTGATATGGGTGTTTATTTTGGTCTTTTCATAATTCATTTTTATGGCCAGTAGAGTATTTAATTCTGAGTTGATGGATAACTATCTTGATTTAAGACAGAAAATTACTCACGGGTGACGCGAATTTTGTTGAAATAATTCTCAGGTCCCTCTATTTTCAAAAAGACAACAGAGGTCCTTACATTTTGTTGCAATGACTGAAAGGGGACATTTCATCCAATATTTCATCTATAAACGTTAATAAATGTATTTTTTCCTATTCTTTTCTAAATGTTTTAAGGTAATAAATCTTAGGTCGTTCCTTTTTTTATTTCTTTGTTTTTCTTTCATTTTGTTACTATTTTTTTAAAGTGTTATTTTAGAATTTCTTCTATAAAATCGTATAAAAATTCATAATTGTTTGTATTATACTAAAACAAATGAAATAAAAAAAAATTAAAAAAAGAAAAAACAAGGTAATGGCAAAATAGGAAAAAAAAGTATTGGAAAAATAGGAAAAAAATTCATTTATTAACACTTACGGATGATTTATTGGATGAAATGTCCTCTCTCAGTCATTACAACAAAATATAAGGACCTTGGTTGTCTTTTTGAAAATAGGACCTGAAAGTTATTTCCACAAAACTCGCGTCACCCGCGAGTAATTTTCTGGATTTAAGAAGATACTCCGTATATCATATATGGACACCCCATTATATTATTTTTTATGTGGAGCACAATAAAATAAAATGAGAAATTAAAACATCGAAAATATCTCCTTCAAAAAAATATATATCTACTACGTAGTATTTGGTTTATAAAAATACATAGTACTCTCTCCGTCCTAAAAAGTCTTGCCTGTTTCATTTTTTGCGCATCTCATAAAACACTTCTAACGACATCTAAAATGCCTAAAATTTACAAAATTTCTTCTTTATTATGGGTAGAAGTTATTTTGAAAGTTTTTTTGGCAATCAAGACGGGATAGAAGTGTTTTATGGGATGAGCAAAAATGAAACATGAAAGACTTTTTGGGACGGATGAAGTAGTAATTTTATATACAATGGATAAAAGAATAATAGAAATATTATTCTTGTATATTTATTTGCTCTGTAGTTCAACCTACCTATCACAGCTATGTTAGTTTGGATAGAAAAAATAGAACTAGATGTTAGAAGAAACATGAAAAC